TATTTGTAGCCCACAGGCATTCACCACCAGGCCTCTTCCCCAACCTCCAAGGTGATAGTCCATCCTCTGCTTGTTTCATCAAACCTAACAGACTAATCAGAAGGATTTTATATTACAACTAATGTTGAAATCATTCAGCTTTCTTTACAAAGGTGAGATTGTAACAGTCGGCCTGATTTAATCACATAAAGGCAAAAACAGAAGTATGAGAAATTCCATGTTTCAGAAGGTCTTAATCTGTTTTGAAGCTGATGGGGGATCCCTTGCGAAGAAATGCTGGAAGCTGAAGAGCTGGGGGCAGCAGGGCTGGTAGACCATCACCACAGGTCCTGGGACTTGAGTCCTAACATCAAAGGGAACTTGAGTCCTACAAATGGGCTCTGCTGGAAGTGCGCTCAGGTAAGATTCTTCACTGGGTCTGACACTGATTTGGCCTCTGGCAACCTACATAGAACACTATACTAACGTCAAGTCTCGATCACAAACATGGAAAACGGTAGCTGCTGCTGCTGCTGCTTTAATATACTTAGTAGTAACCTGTTATTTCATAGTGAAAATAAATACAGTTCTTTCCATTTCCATAACATGTTCAATGGGAGTCTGCCATACTATGCAATTCCAGTGCTAAACGTGTGTCCTACCCAGTGACCTCAAACTTCCTGTCTCAGCTGCTCCAGCCTCCAAGACATTCCATTTGCTGCTTCCTACCTGCCACTTCCTGGCTTCACTAGTATGATGAATGGCTTTCCATACTCAACTCCTTTGCTCTGTTCTTCAGGCCCTAGCAGAACTACATCCTAGAGCTTAGTCAGCCTGTCTACCTTTATGATGAGCCACCGGGGCTTTCATTTCACTGTGTTCATACAACCTCGTCTCAGGGGTCCTAGAGAAGCTGTTCAGTCCCTCCATGTACCTCACTAACATACAAAACCTTTCTCTTGTCCAACTTAGGTCAGTGGGTGGGGAGCTGCAAATAAGCTTGTAGTAGAGAGGCTGATGAGTAGACAGGATTATCCTGCACATATGCCGATGAAGGGGCCTCTGAACAGCCAGAGGTGTTAGGAGTTTGCATGCTAACTTGGCAAGTGAAAAGGAAGGGGAGGCTTCTAAGGTAAACTGCCCAGGGAGTTCCTGAGTGTAGCTTTGTAGCAGTTCCCAAAGACAACCCACTTTCCATGCAAGTTTTGATCTCATTCAGTTTATGTTCTTATAATAGATACCTTTACCCTGGTAACTTATTTTCTGTTTCCACCATCTAATTTAGTATTCTGTTTGACCAGTATTGTCAATTAAATGTTTTCTCATGAACATATCTAAGATATCACTTAAACTACAATTAGTAGGCTTTTCCTTTGCTTCTGTGGACTCTTTTCTTATATTAAGATAATTTTTATTTAAGGTCAACTGGAGTTTGCTATTCCAGGTAGACCTAGCTGGAATGTAAATATCAAAATATTAACTTGAAAACAAGAAAAAAGAGGAGGGATGGGAATGGGACAAAACAGGAACAAACATTTAAAAGCCATGGTGCTCACTGGAGTAGTAAGTAGTGCATGCCTGTGATCCCAGCACTCAGGAAGCAGAGGCAGCTGGAGGTGGATCTGTGTGAGTTCGAGGACAGCCTGGTCTACAAAGTTTCTCCATACAGCCAAGGCTACACAAAGGAACCTTAACTAGGGGGGAAAAAAGCTATGATGCTAAAAGAACTGCTTTATCTGAGGGGAAAATAAAAAGTATAATTAGCTCTAAGTTGAAATACTAAAATATTAATGGCTAAATACATATTCAAATATTCTTGGTTCCTTAATTTCTTATGTTGTAGTGACTCCTAACCATAAAATTATGTCTGTTGCTACTTCATAGCTGTCATTTTCCTGCTGTTATGAACCACACTGTAAATACCTGTGTTTTCTTAGCAAGCCCTGTGAAAGGGTCATTGGACTCCTAAAGCAACCCACAGGTTGAAAACCTACTGCCCTAGAGACAGATAAAATTGAGCTCGAGAACAGACTCCAGGTAAAGCTCATTTGAGAACAGTTCCTTCTCTACTACTTTGTTCTGTAAAAAATAAAAAATATATAATTACATATTACATAACGTAATTATAATATACAATGTAATTGTATAATACTATGCTATAAATATAAAAATTTTATATTAATATAAAATATATATTACATAATATATAATATTTTTCTATTGTCTTAAAAGAAAAAAAAAGAACAAGTAAAACAAAACCTCCTCTTTGTGACTCAAGAGTCCTATGAGAATTTGGACACTGACACTGTTAACACTGCTCTATGTCCTCCAAGGTAGAAAAGATCAGCCTAGTCAAGAGGGACAGGCTCATTCTGACAATGAGAGGCAATTAAAATTTAACTATGCTATAGGTTGTTTTCAGGAAAACAAACTAACAAGCAAACTAGGGGAACATAGAAGAAACACTGAAATTGTCAGAGCAAAAGGAAATTGCTATGTTAACTCTGTTCTCAAAGCCATCTGGCTGGAAGGTGTTAGGATGGAAAAACAAGGCAGTGCTTATGCCTGGCAAACTTTGTATTAAGCTGAAAACCCCAAATTTGAGACAGTACCTACTGCAAAAACATAACTGGTAAGATACTCAAATTCTACTGCTAACCTTTCCTAACCATAACCCTATCCATCTCCCCAATCCATACAACAGAGGAGAGTCACTTTACTAACAGTGACTGGGGAGGGAGTGGAGACTTGGATCAACAGCTCAGAGCACTTGTGGCTCTTGCAGAGGACCTTATCTGATTTCCATGGAGACTCATGGCCACCTGTAACTCCAGTTCCAGGAGATCTGACACTCTCATCTGGCCTCCAAGAGCACTTGGCATGTATGTGGTGATTTACATACATACATACATACATACATACATACATACATACATACAAGGTAACACCCAAATACATAAAATTAAAGAGGGGAAAAAAAAATCTTAAGGGCAATTAGCTAGATTGTATACAACAGTTATCTTGTGCCTAACCCTGGTACTTTTCTAATGATTTCATTGTCCAAGGGACCAGAAGTTTACCTAATGGTTATGTTTTATGGTATCAAATGGAGTATTCTGTTCAAAATAGCAACAATGTTCTATAGTTTGAAATTAAAACAAGGTTCTGTGCAAACTTTGCACAGAACCTTGTTTTAATACTATTGTTTTAGACCTATTGTGAGTGAGAGGAAAGAAAAGGGATGAAGAAGGGAACCCCTATACTGTTAGTCAAACTAACATTTTCATTTTCCTGGATTCCCACTCAGCTGGTCTGGTATATGTTTTAACATTTTACACCTGTATATGCAGTTCCCCTTCCCCCATGCCTCTCCTGCCGGCAGCGGTAGTAATTAAACTCAGCAAACATGTTTCTTTTTCTTTTTTTGTTTTTTTTTCTATTATTTATTTATTTAGTCATTCATTCATTCATTCATTCATTCATTCATTCATTTGATATAGGGTTTCTCTGTATATCCTTGGCTGTCCTAGACTCATTGGGTACACCAGGCCGGCCTCAAATTCACAGCCATCTGCCCGATGCTGCCTCCTGGGCGCTGGGATTAAAGAGGTGTGCCACCACACCCAACCTGGTATATTTTCATAATACCAGAATGTCTCATTCAGCTCATTATCCTGGTCTCTATTTTGTTATGTGCTGTCTCTTAATTGTACCTCTGTGTCAGTGGTTCTCAACCTTCCTAATGCTGCAACCTTTAACAGTTCCTCATGCTGTGGTGACTCCAATCATAAACTTATTTTTGTCACTACATCATAAGTAATTCTGCTACTCTTATGAATTGTAAAGTAAATATATATGTTTTTTGATGGTCTTAGGGGACTTCTGAGAAAGGGTGGATGGGATGTCGCAAGGGGTTGCGACCCATAAACTGAGAAACACTGCTCTATGTCCCTAATTTCAAACTATAGAGCTTGCTGGTATCAAAATAAGTATGAAAAAAAAAAAAAAAACTATCCTAATTCATACTTGTATGAGTCTTTACAATTATGATGTCTTTTGAAGGAATCCAAAAGAATAACTTCTGCCAACTGTTTGGGTATAACATGGAGACATACGTTAAAGTTTGTTAAAAGCATACGCAATAGTAGTTTCAGTACTATAAAGTTCTTGTCCAAGCCCCTTGGCTAAGTTTCTTGCATAGGGTAAAGAATTAACAACAACGCCCGGCACGCCTGTAATCCCAGCACTGGAGAGGCAGAGAGGCAGGTGGTCTCTGAGTTCAAGGCCAGCCTGGTCTACAAAGTGTGTCTAGGGCAGCTGAGATTACAGAGAAACGCCGTCTCGAAAAACCAAACCAAACCAACCCCCCCCCCCAAAAAAAAAGTAACAACAACAAAGTAATAATGCCCAGTGTGGATTTAACACAACTGATAATAGTCTCATTTTGTTTATAGACGTGATTACTGAAAATATCTCCTACAGGTGCTAAACTTCTGAGAGTACGCGAAGCAGGCAAACCCAGGGACCGCAGTACACACTACGATCCTGGTACTCCGTCTTCCGCTTAATCTACACCAATCGTACCCCCACGCCGTGGCCAGCGTTTCCACAGCTCCGGAACACTGCAGACAAGCACCTATCACATGACGGCGAGGAACACTGGAACCGTTCCCAGGCGTGCTTTCCCTCCCGTTCCCGAGGCTACTGCACCTGGGACAGTTTAACTCTTCGACCGTCACTGTCCTGCCGCTCAGGTGGGCATCCTGTGTACCCAGGGGAGCCAGCAGGAGCCACC